GCAGAGAGCCCTGACAGGATCGAGAGGTGAGCGAGCGCCGGTATGTGTTCCCTCACCTCCCGATCTACTGAGCCGACCTGTGACAGTCTCATTGTCACAGGTCGGCTAGAACTATGAGGTGAGTGAAAAGCACCCCCCTCATAGTTCTCCTTTAAGGGCCAAACACATGTTCCTGCCCTTAGCAACCTGGGAGGCTCTGGCCGGCATCTCACCCAGCTGTGGATGGATGCCATCATCGAAATCACTGGTTGCCAGCTGCTGGGCGGCACACTGGGCAGAGCAACCCAATTTGATAATTTGGTAAGAGCTGTGTGAGAAAAATGGGTAGACCTTACACATTTAACCCCAGCAAACAGACTAGGGTCACCCCTGCAGATGCTCATTAGAAAATATTTATTACTAGGGATCCACTGATACTAGTACCGGCGCTGATACCGAGTATTTGGGCGAGTGCTCGCCTAAATGTTTTGATACTTACACCAATACCGGAACTTCTGGTCAGAGGGAGATTTCCTCTGACTGGCGGGTGACCGCGAGGGAACATGGAGCCAGCTTCCTAGCCAATGAGGACACCGGGCCGTGGTTAATGACTCGCAGCCCGGCTTCCTGATTGGCCGGGAAGCCAGCTCAATGCTGATTGGCTGGGAAGCCAGCTTCCCGGCCAATCCGCATCGAACTGGCCAAACAGCATGGAGCAAGCTTCCCGGCCAATCGGGAAGCCAGGCCACGGGTAAAGACCCGGCTTCCTGATTGCCCGTGAAACCGGCTCCATGCTACCAGTAGTGCCGGTATTCGGTATCGGCGAGTACCGAAATATAACTATCGGTCCTCGATAAAGGAAAATTCGATATTGGTGCATCCCTAATTTATTACTCATAAGTTAAAAGAACCTAGAACTGACAATATTTGGGCTTCTCTGGGTTTCTATAACAATCCTCCAGTTTTTGTTATAAACTCCGCCTTTCGTATTTGCAGTCAAGTTTCTCGATTTTGTTCCTCGGTAGACCAGTGATGGTGATTTGGCTTTCTTTTCCACAATGTAGCAATTATTTATCCGAGTTATAAACTCATCAGATATCCCCCTGAACAGATGAGATTCTAAAATCGTAGGAAGGCCTCTGAATTCAAGCGAATTGATGATTTACCATGTACGGACTTTATCTCAGTATGACATCACCCGCCTGACATGTATGTGACGTGTTTGTCCCCTGCAGGCTCTCCTGTATTTCATCCATATGATGGATCACGTGGCGGCCAAGGATTACATCCTGGTGTATTTCCACACTCTGACCGGAGAACACAACCACCTGGAGTCCGACTTCCTCAAGAACGTCTACGATGTGGTAGATGCCAAGTAAGTGATCGCGCCCTGACAAGCCCGGTGTTCTATCAAAAGCTCCAACTCGTCGAAATCTCCAACTACCTCACTGCCGGGTACAGGCAAGTTGGAGATTTCGATCGGGCGGCGTTCGTTCAGGAATCGGATCTGAACCCAGAACCTCTGCTGTAGCTGGCGGTGGTTCTACCTGCTGAGCCACCTTAGAACCTTGGATAGCTCCTTGCCTGATCTCCTGTGTAATCCTCAGGTAAACCTAGTTTCTGCTGAACTCCATGCTCTTCCCCTGAACTTCCTATTTAAGCCACGCCTCTTCACTTCCTGTTTGCCAGATTATTGTGCTCCTGCCCATATCTTGCTTTCTTGCTCCTCCTGTGATGCAATCCGCTCATACTGCTACCCGTGTACCGACCTTTGGCTGCTGATTCACCGACTGCTCTCACTGCCCCCTGCTACATACCTGATACCTTTTGGCTACTGACCTCGGCTTGATCTCTGACTACGCTTCTGCCTGCTCCTATACTACTACCGTCTGCTTGTGTACCAAACCCGGCCTGTTATACACGATGTTGCCTGCTGCTTCAGCTACTGGACTCTGAGCCTGATCCTAGATCGTGACAGTTAGACTGCAAAGCACAAACACTGACTGAGCTTCTGCTCAGCTGAATTTTAACAATATTCAGCAGGTGGCAACCTCGACAAGTATGCTGAAAACGCTATGCGCGCATGCGCGGCGCACCTGTACAGAGCTCCGGTCTTTCTGAGCACCGGAAGTGAGGTGGTTGGAGATTTCGATGAGTTGGAGCTTTCGATAGAACACGGGTCTTGGGGAATCTTGAGATATTATTTCTGGGCTCAGTTTATTTGTTTTGGTTCATTTTGTTACATAATTGCCGTTTGCAGTCGCAAAGACACAACAGGAAGGGAGATGAAATCTGTACAAAGGGAAGGAAAGTCCCCCTCTTAGCTGCCACTAGAATGGGTGTGTCCCCCCATAGGAAGATGTATCCTCTTCCGGTCTAAAATTTGGGAGCTTCCTGTTTGCCACAGTGGTGACAAATCCATAGAAAGGTTGCAATCCTTCCACACTCCATCCATAACTAACAACATGCGTAGCATCATGCAGTAGATGCAGTAGTACCCTTTTACGGCCACGGATGTAAGTACTATGTCCACGGCAGCTGTAAACTGACGCATGGCTGCTACAGCAGCTAGGAGTCCATTCACCTGACTCCCGGCTATGTACTGCAAATTAGGGATGTCCCGTTACCGATACTAGTATCGGTATCAGGGCCGATACCCGGCATTTTCACGAGTACTTGTACTCGTGAAAATGCCCCGATTCTTAAGGCCGATGCCGGCCCTGGGTCCTGGCAGTAGCTGTCCCTGGCAGTGCCTGTCCATTTCTATGCCTCCTGCTCCTTCTTCCTGGCACAGCCATGGACAGCCCCACACACAGCACAGGACAGCCCCGGACACCGGAACCCGTCCGATCAACTAAGAACCATGCAGAGCGCCACATGCCGCCCAGTTGAGACTGCAGCCTTCTGCTGTGGTGGTATGTATTGTGCTGCTGTGGGATCTATTGTGCTCTGCTGGGACGTATTATGCTCTGGTGGGATCTATTGTGCTTTGGGGACATCTGTATTCTGCTTTTTGTGGACATATGTATTTAGCCCTGGGTGAGAAACTGCCCTAAAATCATTAGACTGTGTTTTAGAAAAACATGTCACATGTCCCTTTAAGAAAAAGTATCGGTAATTGGTATCGGCAAGTACTTGGTGTTAAAGAAGTGGTATCGGGGCATCCCTACTGCAAATGATCAGATGGCTGTAAAGCCACCCCATCACTGGGCTTGATCAGCTTCATTGGGCTGCAAAGGTGGCATTAGGGGTCTAATAGACCCCCTAATTATTTATTGGGCTTTCAGAATGTTGTGAAAGTGACAAGGACGGGAAAGTCATCCCTGCAACAAGTCAAGTCATGTGCTAGGTAACAATACATGTAATGTGGCCGCAGTTCCTGCTCTTACCTGAAGGTGGCGCTGCGTGTACACGTAATAGGCCGTGCTGCAGTTTTAACGGCAAACATTACAATAAAAGCAAACCCCACATTTTGGAATTCGTATGTAGATCGGCATCATTAGTCATCCGAACTGCCAGTCATTTAAAGTATTTTTTTGCTATTTTTGTAAATTCTTACGAACTTCTCTTTTTATAGGTACAAAAAGAATTTGAAGGCTCTGTACTTTGTCCATCCAACATTTCGCTCCAAGGTACGACGTCGGTCTATTGTCTCCCCTCCTGTGACGATAGCCATTGTTTTGTTCGGTCATAATATTACAGCCGCTCTGCACCTCCTAGGTATGAGCACGCCATTTTAAACTGGCCCCAAAACCTCTCGTGTGTAACCAAGGGAGCCCCTTCAATAGTATTTTACCCCTGATATTCATGTTGCAAAAGTATTCACCCCCGTGGCATTTTTTTTCCTATTCTGTTGCATTACAACCTGCAATTAATATG